ATAAAAATAACCCTTTTACACCGCATTTATTTCGGTGTTAATTTTATACCTTTCACTTCACTTTACGATAACGCAGAACGGGAATTGACCCTCTGGAACCTGCAAATTTTTACTGGAAAAGTATACATATAAAGTTCTGAACACATTAAAAGCGACGGGCTACGGGCCACAGCATCCAATTTTTTATCTTCATTACCTAAACGCTTTATCGATGACGATATGATTTTTTTGAACGCGGCAGCGACATCTTGAGTTTGTATGAGTTTGACATATAAGAAGAGGAAAAACCTCATGGGTCGCTGCAAAAATAGAAATTGATCTCATCTGACCACAACCACGGTTGTCAAAATAATTATCTAAATGAAAGTACGTATTAAAATAATTTGACAGCTGTGGTCCGTAGCTCGTCGTTATCATTGTCATCGGCCTATGATAGTCAAGGGTGTGACTGGCAACTCAGTGCGGCTCTCTATTAAGCTACTATGATATCAAAAAATATAAACAAACGATTTAAAATTCATAAATTTGTTTTCAATTTGACTTTATAGGATAGTTCTTATGAGAGCAATGTCAAATTCATTAACTTTTTGTTAAATACATTTTGATAGTAACCCAAAAATTAGCAAGAGAGCACTGAATCGAGAGCGTAACAACACGAGATAGCTGCAAATTCTGCTAGTGAAATTTTTACTTACAGAAGAAGAACAAGAATAAATGTCAAAAGCCGTCATTTGTTGAATTGGTTCGGCAGAAACAAAAGTAGAATTAGTGAAAATCAAAATATTAAATATGTACCGGACTGTGTAAGTGCTTGTGTGTAAAGCAAAGAGTTTAAAACGGATTTANGCGATTTGGACTCGAAAAGTTACTATACACACCTATACTTTACGTTCTCTGAAAAAGTAACAGTGCTGCCAAGTAGCAAAGTATTTGTATTTACTTATAAGAACTAAAATTAACGAGTTTTTTTCTAATTTCCTCAAATAATTTGTGACCAAAGTGGCCATTCTGCAAAGAGTTTAATGATTTTTCCTTTTTTGTCTACATTTATAATTTTTTTGCTGCAGGAAATCTCCTTTCTCATTTTTAATAACATTTCTGTTCCAATTGCAGCATCTGGTGGACTGGTCAAAGGCCATGCTGCCACAAATATCGCAAATTACCCGCCATTATGACGAATGGGTTCATAGGCCAGTCGACAGACCATTGCGTCTCTTCGGACCATCATATTTGGAGATGTTTACAAAAACGCCTTGGTGGGTTATACCGCTTTTTTGGATACCCGTTATCTGCAAATGTATTTGGGATGAGTTCTCACAAAATTGGAGCGCACCTAGCACAAGCACCGTGAGTTCTAATGAGTGCAATCACAACTATTTTTTTTGTTAATTAAAAATAAAACACTTTTTTACAGCTATTATGCATCTTGTTTACAGCCGGCATACTTTTCTGGACTTTGCTTGAATATATTCTGCATAGATTTGTATTCCACATGAAGGTGACCGCCAATTCCAATCCATGGTTATGCACATTTCATTTCATGATACATGGTCTACATCATAAAGTGCCTTTCGATTCGAAACGTCTTGTCTTTCCGCCACTGCCAGGTGTCATTATTGCCACTATCATATATACACCTATCAGTTTCTTATTGCCCCATCCACGTGCTGTGTTGGCCGGTGCACTCTTCGGATATCTGTGCTATGATCTGATGCACTATTACCTCCACTATGGAAATCCTTCATTGCAGCACACACGCTTCATGTACGATATGAAACGGTATCACTATCAGCACCATTTCGCACATCAGGATATGGGCTATGGCATCAGTAGTCCTTTTTGGGATGCCGTATTTAATACTCGAATACGTTTGCGAAAACTGCGATTCCCATTGCGTTGGCGGTAATTGCAGTCAAATAATTGGTGAACCAAAAACTAATTAATTTGATTCCTAATATTGGCTTATGAACAATGTTTTTTTTTTTTTGTAATGATAGTATTTACTTTTCATATGTAAAACATTACCAAAGAAGAAACCTATACGGAGGGAACATTCCTTAAATATAAATAGTATATATCTAGATACATACATATGTACAAACATATGTTTACTAATAAGACACATGCTGAGACAATGCGTTAATCTAGTATTACTGAGTTTAATAACAAAGTAATTATGAACTGCTTTAAAACTATTGAAATCATCATCACTTTGTTCTTTGTTTATTACTTAGTGCTAAGCATAAAATAAAAACTGTATTTTCTGATGCATATTTTTTTTCGTACAAATAAATGATATAAAAATTGTAATAGACGTAAAAAGCAATAATATAAAATTAAATAACACTTTTGCCTGTATTTTAATGTACAATATCTTTGGCAAAACCGTAATTGTAAATAACACATTGCATACCGACTGCTGAGTGGAACAACGAGCTATCTCGGTAGCCGGTTCGAAAATGCCCTATCTAAAAAAACTTCAAGACCGCCTTATTTGAGAATTCGTTTCAAAACTCCCAATCTCAGCTGCCGATTCAAAAACGCCCTATATCAGCACATTTTCTATACATTTTGAAGGGAGATAGGGCATTTTTGAACCGAATTCTGAGATGGGGCGTTCTTCAACCATATTCTGAGATAAGGTGTTTTTCAATCAAATTCTGAAATGGGGCGATCTTGAAAAGTTTATTGAGATAGTGCGTTTTCGAACTGGCTGCCGAGATAGGTCGATCTTCCACTCAGTACTCGATATATTCACCCTCATTGCGAGAGTCGTGTCGGAGGCAAGTCGTTTTCTTATAGTCGAAACGCATCGAAAATTTCACGTCAAAATTCCACTCGACTAGTGTATTAAACCGGAAAAACTTGGCAGCACTGTATATTTTGCGACGATTTTCACCGTTTACTTATTCCAACACGACAGTAGACAATGCCAATGTTGTCGACGCTGGGTTCATGGGCACAACGAGAGCTTTAAAATTAACATGTAAATTCCATGGTGAAATCAGAAACAGATGAGATAATAAAACGGCTGTTTTATTTTATTTCCTTGAAATTCGGCTATCTTACAGAAATTTCAAAAGGCAAATTTTCATATATGATAGTGTCAAATCACTTTTATTACTTCAACTGGTATAATGTCAAATCTTTTTTCTTTACTCTTATTACTTCAACTGGTAAATTCCACATCAAACTATTCTGACAACTTATCCCGATATTATAATCAAAGCCGAGCTAGCGGGCCACTTTCGATCTAGGTACCGCAATACAAGCGAATACTGTAATTACCAGTGCTGCCAAGTTTTAAATGGGGTTGAAGCGCGTTTTTNTGCCAATGTTGTCGACGCTGGATTCATGGGCACAACGAGACCTTTAAAATTAACATGTAAATTCCATGGTGAAATCAGAAACAGATGAGGTAATAAAACGGCTGTTTTACTTTATTTTCTTGAAATTCGGCTATCTTACAGAAATTTCAAAAGGCAAATTTTCATATATGATAGCGTCAAATCACTTTATTACTTCAACTGGTATAATGTCAAATCTTTTTTTTTTACTCTTATTACTTCAACTGGTAAATTCCACATCAAACTATTCTGACAACTTATCCCGATATTATAATCAAAGCCGAGCTAGCAGGCCACTTTCGATCTAGGTACCGCAATACAAGCGAATACTGTAATTACCAGTGCTGCCAAGTTTTAAATGGGGTTGAAGCGCGTTTTTGTGCAAATTTTCACATTTGTCGTTTTGTTTTATTTGTTTTACAGAAATTAGTTCGTTCATTATTGCAAAATATAATTTAAAGAAAACTATTATTGTGAAGCTAAGTAATTGTAATAAAAATGTGTAGTGTATATAAGATATTCGCGCTATTCTTCCAGCTCCGAAGGACGTCATCCGTAAAGAATTTGTGTAAAAAATTAGATGAACCGTTAAAGAATAACTAATTAATAGGTGAGTAAATATATCGCTTTTCATTATATTTTTGTTTAAAAAAATATATTTAGAACTGCCTCAAGTCCATTGCAGTTTTCCATGTATTTTATATGGGGAAAACACACTTTTCCGTAGAATATCGCCTGTTGTTGTTGTTGTAACAGCGCAAAGATACCCCAAATTTATGTTGGTGAGTGTTGCTGGAGTGACAGTGCTGGGCCAGATATAAATCTGGGTCGTTACGGTTACGTACACCCGACTGTCGTAGGGAAACGGCCCCGTCATGGTCGACGATCGTCAGCTGACGTCCTTGCCCCTATGGATGGACCCTGTTCAAGTCGCACACTTCCTGTGCCTCCCCTTAGCCGAGCGGGGCTTAGTAGCCGCTACAACAACAACAACGATCGTCAGCGCATCAGTAAAATGTCTGACGATGGCCGTATCATCACTTTTACGTTTACTCTGTTTCTCTTCAGAAGACTTCCAACAATATTAGCCAATTGTTTATTTGAACATTTTTTAATATTTACTATTTTTTCGATCGAAAAATATTGATTTTCAAGAATTCTATACCATTTCTACTTCATGGGCTTTGAGGCAGTTATAAATATAATATTTTTAACAAAAAAATACGTGTATTATTTTTTCCATTTAGTAAAATCCTAAGTGGCGAGATCTAAACATTTAAAACTCTTTTTATGACCAACCCACGGTGCAGGCTTTTAAGGCTGCTTAGTATTTCAACCGTTGTCGTCAAGCGCAACTAACTGTATTCCCAGGAAACGTGCTGTTTCGGCGAGGTCGGACCAGAGGGAGATGTGTATTTGTCCTGATTCCAATATTGTTGTTGTTGTTGTTTATGTAACAGCATATAAATTCCTTAAAAGTGTTTTTGGGTACTGATGCTGGATTAACAGTCCTTGCCCAGATAAGAATCTGGGTCTTTGCGATTAGGTAGCCCCGACTGTTGTCGGAACGTCCTGATTCCGATGTGGTTGGAGATACATACTTCTACTCAATCTGAGCTAAGGATGCTAAAGATGCATTAACAGTTCTTGGTTTTTTTTTTATAATAGCGGTTGGCCCCTGGCAGGAAATGGCATGAAAAAGCTGCTAATAAATAACCATTTTTCGTTCTGAAGTGACGTCTCCGCATTTTCTGCGACAACGTTAAGACGCACACCACAAACTGTACGAGAAGCTCGGCCAGGCTCTTGATACAAATTAGAGCGCAATTGTTTTCATTTGTATTAGACCTCATGATAGTTGGGCAGATGATCGAAAATAGCTGTAAACCATAGCTCTAAAATTCTTTCAATTTTTTTGCTCATCATCGTTTAAAATTCTCAATGTATGTATGTACTTCGTGTGCTTAAAAAAAGTGTACCAGTTATTTTGTTGTTTTAAGGTTTTATTGAATCTTGTAAAGTTTATATATTTAAAGATATTATATATGCTTAGGTAAAGTAGATGAAATGAACAAAAATCAAGTGAAGCAACTAAGGACATTTAATGTAATCGGTTTGAATAGTTTCAGCTGTTCAATACAATAAATACATTTTATAAAATATAGTAGTCATAGCATAAAATTAGAATCACTTAACTTAATGAATTTGTGTAGTATTGTAGAGTATATCTGATATATACCATTACAAAGTTATGTATGCGCTTCCAGTTTTAAGTGTTATAAATTACGCAGAGTTGAGCTTGCACAATTTTATAAAAAAAAAAAATTACCCTCAGTTGCATAGTTGTGTATTATCCGCAAAAAGTAGAAGCAATTTGTTGTTTTACAGTTAGTAACGACGGTTACAACTGTTAGTTGTTTCTTATGACGATGTTATAGTGGTTATTGCAATACTCATAATTTACTTTTTCTTCTTCTTAGCGTTCTTCTCCACAGGCAATGCCTCCGATTTGCGCTTTTGATTTGTCTTTGCTGGTGGTGCACTAGTTGTACTCGCGCCAGTCGAGTTCTTGGCTGCTTTCTTCTTTTTCTCTTGGCGTTCCTTTTCTTCAAGCTCAAGATTCTCTCGCTCAATGAGTGTGATTAGGGTGTTGCAGCGACGTTGTAATTCAAGCGCTGTACGGGATTTAATGAACCAATCGAAACGAAATTCTGGTGATGAACTACAGATTGAAAAAGAAAAATAATTAGGAGATAAGTTCTTTTTTCAATTTTCGGTTTGATATTTCTTACCGTATAGCATCCCGTAATTCCTCGTAGACATTTTCTTTGTCGAATCCGAGCTTGTGCAACATACAAACCAGAAAACGGTCTTCACGCTCTACGTAATTTTTGCCCTTATTATTGCCATACTGCAGACGTAACTGGTGGAAAGGTGCGCGATAGCGTGACATCTGCAAAGGGAAATTGGTATTGTATTTTTTAATTTTTGCGCATAATTTACACACACCTTCTGGTCCAGTGCCTTTTTTATGGACAGTCTTCGTTGTATCTTCGCTTCTCCGCGCTCAATTTGGCCCATAATTCGTTCGATGTCCTGCAACTCATGACAGCGCTCCCAAAACACTGCATTGTATTCTATGACCTCCTCAGGCGTTTTACCTTCTACATCCTTAGCAATGTTTTCGATGTCATCACGCCCATATTTTTCGTTTGCTTTGATAAATTGATTAAAATCACGTTTGGTCCATGTGGTGAAACCCTGTGTCAACAGGGACTCCTTCTCGGCAACCTCCTCCTCGGTCAGCTGCTCTGCTTCATCAATCTTACGTTGTTCTTCTCGTTGCATTTTAGTGGCTTCAGAGCCTAATTCAGGATTCTTTGGCACTTTATAGCCTACTGTTTTGCGGAAGTAGTAGATCTCCTGATCAAGCAGCTCAAATAGACGTGGCGGAAAGAATTGAAAGTCTTGAACAATAGGCTGTTTAGGTGGGCGGGGCGCTTTCGGTGCTTTTGGTTCCGAGACGCGCAATGCCTCACGGAAATATGCATCGACAGCGTAATTAGCTTTGCGCTCACGCTTAGGCGGTTCGATCCAATTGCCTAATGCATTCAGTTTCTGTTTTTCACGGTAATCTTCACCTTCAAACTGATACACAGATGTAGAGCCGCCTTCGCCGCCACCAGTATCGACAGTAAATGTGCGTAAAGAACTTTCACCCAATTCATCGAGCTTAGCCTTTTCTTCAGCCGTCTTCGCCTCGCCACGTTCCAAAATACTATCAATATCTTCGTCTGTGAGTTCTGAATCTTTTGAAGCGAATACATGGTTAGCGCCGAATCGAATAATATTCAACATTTCATCTTTGTTCAACTGTGCAGTGCGGCTGTCAACGAGGCGACCTTGTTGTATGACCAGTTTGTCTAAACGTAATTTCACTTCCGCACGTTCGACAATCTTCTCTTCCACTGTGTTTTCAGTGATGAATCGGAATACCCGCACCTGCTTCTTTTGACCGATACGATGTGCGCGATCCATAGCCTAAAACGAGAATAAAGTGGGTTTATATGAAGTAATACAATTGAAAAACATCATTCGTGGATACCTGCAAGTCCATTTGTGGATTCCAATCTGAATCGTAAATAATAACTACATCCGCGGTTGCTAAATTAATACCCAAACCACCAGCGCGAGTGGAAAGCATGAAGACGAATTTAGTACTATTGTCCATGTTGTATTCCTGTATTTGTCGGTTTCGATCCTCGTGTGGTGTTTGACCATCTAAACGGCAATACTGGTAGTTGCGCCACAGACAGTAATCTTCAAGAATATCCAACATACGAGTCATTTGTGAGAATATAAGCACACGTGAACCCTGTTCTTGCAGCTTAGGCAATAATTTATCCAAAATAACCATTTTGCCAGAGTTATATACTAAATGCGTGTCTGTCGTATACGGTGGGCCGGGTTCAGCCCCATCGAAAAGATACGGGTGATTGGTACACTTACGTAGTTGCATCAAAATATTCTGCAAGCGCATTTTCTCTAATTTACCGGCGCCATTTACAACATCTATATCCTTCATCAAAACTTTTGTATACCATTCACGCTGCATTTTGGACAAACCAACAAATATTTTGATTTCCTTCTTAGGCTTAAGGCGACGTTCCACTTCGGCTTTGAGACGACGCAACAAGAACGGTTTCAATACGGCATGTAGACGGGTTATTAGTGCGTCATCACCCAAACAATTGTTCGTATTAAACCATTCATCGAAATCTTCCGATGAATTGAAAACATCGGGCAACAAAAAGTTTAGCAAAGCCCACAATTCATGCAAATTATTCTGCAATGGTGTACCAGTGATAAGCAGGCGATTAGCTGTTTTAAACTCGCGCAAAATTTCTGAAAGCTTAGATTTTTCGTTTTTGATGCGATGAGCTTCATCTATAACCATGTAACGCCAATTGAATTTCTTAAAAACAGACTTCTCACGTATGCACATTTCATAGGAGGTCACGCAAACATCCCACTCCCCAGGTAGTAAAACATCACGTATAAAAGTATTACGCGCATCCTGATCACCAATGAGACAGACGGCGCGGAGCGACGGGCACCACTTTTTAAATTCGATAACCCAATTTTGCAAAGTCGATTTTGGTACAACGACAATATGTGGGCCGGCTTGATTTCTGCAATAAGTTCAATCTTGCTTAGTGCATATATTAGTAGGAATACAAAATGCTAACTTACTTGAAATGCTTTAGATAGCCGAGCAAGGAAATTGTTTGCAAAGTCTTACCCAAACCCATCTCATCGGCCAATATACCATTAATGCCATTTTCATAGAGCGATATCATCCAATTCAAGCCACGCACCTGATAATCGCGCATTTCGCCATTTTTAATGTAGCTAGGTGAGCTCTCAAAACGGAAGATCTCTTTCGATGCCGTATCCTCGGCCAAGAGCTCCTCATCTTCCTCCTGTTCGGTTTTACGGTGCCTGTGACTAATAATTGCAAGTGGACAATAATTGAGTATTAATAACTCATTTTTAAATTGTAAATTGTTATTTACTCACTCAGCATTGCCGTCCTTCTCCTTCTCTTTTTCCTTATCCTTGTTCTTTTTCGGACGTCCTTTAGGTTTTGTTGGGCTCTTTGAGCTATTTGTCATGAAATGCGTAAAAATCTCAGTTTGCTTTAGCAAGAAATCAAAACGTTTGCCACGATCAGTTTCGATTTTATTGTCGAAGTCCACTTCCTTCTCAGCAGAAGAAGTGGTTGCTTCGGAAGTAGTCTCATTCTGAAATATAAAAAATGAGTATTAAACATGCACCAACAAACAATATTTTGCCGCGTGTATTTTTTTTTACAAATAACATGCTGGCCCGGCATTTCCAGCTGTTCTCAGCGTCGCTAGTGAATACAATTCAAACGGCGTGACGGGTGCTTCTTCGACGGCCACACGTATGTACATATGCATACACACAAATGAGACTCGGCTTCCTTACATTTTTTTGTGAATCTTTTCTACTCACCGAATTATCATTTGCTTCCATTACTTCGGCTTTCAGTTCTTCTTTGGACATAGTCCTCTTTGTAAGAAGGCTATTTTAATTACTTATATTGATATTTTTTAAGAATTTCCACAGTAATTTTAACTTTTTCCACACCAAATTTTGCTAGCTGCAGACAAATTTTCACAGTAAAAGAAGACAGAAGGAATGGAATGAAATGAAACAAAGAAAAGAGCGGCAGAAAAATGCGGTACACGGTTGCATTTGCGACGGGTGCAGTGTTGCCAGAAAAATTTCGTTTGGAGCTTTAGTTTAGTTTTATATTAGGGGTCTTCCCTTAAACTAGTAAAAGCCTCGTAATTCTCGTAAATTTACGAGCCTGGTAAAAAAAACTATCAACATTTGTACAGAGCACTATTGACGAGCCCCTCGTAAATTTACGAGGCAAATTTGAACCCCAAATCACGTCGTAAACTTCAGCGTTGCCGAGGGGCCGAAATGTTTTTACTAAAATGTATGAAAAAATAATGAAACAAATAATACGCGAATAAAATGAATGAATTTCATCCACTAACGGTATTGACTTAGGTTATCTGCTAATTTTCGGTATTTTTAATTGTACTTTAGCCAAGAGTTATTGAGACAAGATGGCGGGATGTTATGGAAAATACTACGAAACAAAAATTGCTTCACAAAATCTTGGTTGATCTGTCATACAGTCACTTTACGCACCTATTCACACCTTTTCGCCTAGGCGCGTTCCGATAAAAGCCTCGTAAACTTACCGAGTTGTAGACTTTACCGAGTATATGGGAATCCCGTAATTATAAACTAGACAGTGAACTAAAAATACTTTATAAACTGTTAAGATCTGCAATTTCAGATATTTGAATTGACCATAAAATCTCGGGTTACGTAGCATTTTTTAGCAAAATTTGCCTGAAAAGTTTTATTTCCTTCTCTCCTTAAAAGCAAAAATAGTAAGCTAAAAACAAAATCCGCGCGATCAGAAAAAGGATTTTCTTCTAACTATTAATCTAGATCCAATAGCTTATGGTGGAGTCTGTATTTCCCCGTGGATACAAATGAATGTTTTTCCACTGCTTTTCGAATTTTGTAATTTTATCGACGCTTAAGTTTTGGCTTTCCTTTTCTACCGTGGCCGCCTGAGAGAAAATGCACCTTTTGAGCTAATGGGAGCTGGAACTACTGTTCGGTAATGTTTGTGTGCTCCCGCGCGAAATAAAATAACTAGAATAAATAGAATAACATAAAGGTATCGAAAATAGGCTGAGATCTGCAAAGCCAAATAAATTTTAGTCAACACTTGTGCAATGAAATTACAGATTTGTAATTTTAATATATTACCAAATACAACTAAAATTTTCTGGGGCTAAAAAAGTGCTAGATAATTCTGAAAAGAGCTAGGAGCTAAAGCCCAATTTTCGGAGCTAAATAGAAAAATTAAGAGCGAAATTTAAAAAGTATCAAAATGGCAACACTGGATGAGTGTAATAAATATTTTAACGGCATTGCGGCTACGAATTAGAATTATAAATTAAATTTATAAAACATAAATTAAACTTCTTGTTCTTATTTATGCGCTATACTAGATTTGCAGTAAAAAAGTAAATTATTAATATTATAGGAATCCCCCAAAATAAAAAAATTAACTCCAATTTGTTTAATACATACTATCTAAATTTTTATTTTTCAATTGCCATTTACAATGGAGGCTTTGCACATTATTTATTAAGTACTAGAAAAATATTTATGTAGAAAAATTGAGATTGTTAAAATACGAGCCCACATACATACATAAATGCATGTTTGTATATTTGTAATACCTTTAGTAAATTGCTAATTTTGAAATGCTTAAACTAAAAAGTTACTGTCCGACACTCCCACCGCTGCGCTGACATCCGGCAATACACCATAGCATATTATCACCGCCGCCATCCGACTCTCCGTCCTAGCTATCACTCTTCTGCGTTTTCTGCATTACCTGACGCAATTGTGGGAAGCTACTCTTAGTCGGTGGTGGATGTAAACGTGCACATAGTGCTATGAATGGTTCATACAAAGACGGACGCTCCATAGCATTTACTGTGTAATGTTTTATACGTTCACGTGCACACCAATTATTTGCGCGATTCAAAACAGACTCTACTTGATCGGGCTGCTGTTGTTGAACATGTGGCTGCTGTGTAATTTGTGTTGGTGGGGATGCAGGTGACTCACGTCTGTTTCGTGCTCGCATATTGGCCAACACAATTATTGCAACATTGTCCTTTTTCTCCTTGTTACGATCGATATCAGTTTTGATATCGGCCAACATGTCCAAGCTGCTGGGATCTGTTGGATCGTATACGAGTACATAACCATCGGGAAAATAAAGGTAGTGCCGCGGCAGTTGACCCTTCCCTTGTAGACCAGCACTGTCGTAGATACGGAGCGTTTCACGTGCGCCGCCACGACCTGTATCGACACTTGCTACATATATGTCCTCAATTGTAGGATGAATCTCCTGAAAAAAATATATATATATTTACATATGTATGTATATCTAATCATGATTTTGAGTGGGTAGAGCCACCATTCAGATATCCTATCTTCTTGGTTAGAACTACCGTACCGTATCCATGTTGACATTGCCATAAATTAATTGTTCCAGTAGCGCGGTTTTTCCCACACCTTTCATGCCACAAATGAGCACTTTACCTACTTTACCAATTTTAGCGGTCAGCATTTTATCGAGATCTAATTTTTCACACTCTATCCTTTGTTTATATTTGTTAATAACAAATTTCCAATAGCAGCAAACGAACAGCTGATTTGGTTACAGGGCTGCTCAGTTCGGTAAAAATTGCACGAAATATGTACATTATAAGAGGTACGCACGATACATTTGAGCATAGAATGCAAATTTCAGTACGTTTTTTATATAAATATATTGCCTCTTCGCGATGAAGTTGGTTTGGCAATTTTTCACGGAAAATGTCTGCAGGTTGCATGCTTT